ATCCCCCAGCCTTCACCTACCTTGTCCCCCAGCCCTCACCTGCCTACCCCCCAGCCCAGCCCTGCAATCCAGCCCTAACCTGCCTACTCACCCCTCAGCCCTGCGGCACAGACCTCACCTGCTGGCCCACCCCTCAGCCCTCTGGTCTAGGCGTTGCCCACATCCTTCAGCCCTATGACCCAGATCCTCAACCCTGGCCCCTCTCTGCAGGTGGTGGTCTTCAAGTCTGACGGTAGCGTGCTCCTCAATGAGCTGGAAGTCAACCTGCCCCATGTGACAGGTGAGCCTGAGCGAGGCCCCAGGACTCACTTGCTCCAGGCCAGGCCCTCTGGCTTGGCAGGGATCCCCGGCTTGTCTCAGGTCTGGCCAGGAGAATAGGTCCTGGCTGGGCCCTCTGCTCAGGGCAGACTCTTTGGTGGAGAGAGGGTAGGGCTGGTGGAGGGTGCCCCAGGGGTCCCAGTTTGACTGGATGTGGGGGCTGTGGGCCCTGGTGGCCCTCACTGTCCTGCACCCCACCTTCCAGCGAGTTTCTCCATCTTCCGGCCCTCCTCCTACCATGTCATCGTCAACACGGTCTTCGGCCTGAGGCTGCAGGTGCAACTGGTCCCAGTCATGCAGCTCTTTGCCACCCTGGACCAGGGTGCCCAGGGACAGGTGCAGGGTGCGTGCTGTAGGCCCCGGCCCCACCCCATCCTGCCCATCGCTTGGGTCCCCACCCTCAGCCCTGCCCTGGCCCCTGGTCCTCTTGGCCTCATTCTGACCTTACGGCCTCTCTGCCCTGCCCCCATCACCACCTGCTCCACCTCTGGCCCCCATTATCCTCTCAACCTCATGGCCCCTCTGCCCTGCCCCCATCACCACCCATCCTTGGCCCTGTGGTCCTCTTGGCCTCATTCTGGTTTCATGGCCCCTCTGCCCAGGTCTCTGTGGGAACTTCAATGGCTTGGAGGGTGATGACTTCAAGACGGCTGGAGGGCTGGTAGAGGCGACGGGCGCAGGCTTTGCCAACACCTGGAAGGCCCAGTCGAGCTGCCATGACAAGCTAGACTGGCTGGACGACCCCTGCTCCCTCAACATTGAGAGTGGTGAGCACGCTGGCCCTGGAGAGCAGGGCTGCCTACAGCTTCCTACTGCTGGGTGGTTGACGGTGCCCCAATGGGAAGCCCACCCGCGTTACAGAGCGGCCCAGGTGGGGTGCAGCTGGTGCCCACGTCTGGCCTGTCCTGCACCTTTGATGCCTGCACCCTCCCTCTGCCTGGATGAAGGAATGAAGAAGGGAGGGAAGGGTGCCGGGCCGCAACATTGACAATCTGAGGTGCTCTCTGCTCTCACTCATTTGAAGAGGATGTGAGGTACAGGTGCACAGGGATGTGCACGTGTCCGTGACACATTTTCTTTTCAAATGGGTATTAGAGTAAAGAGTGTCAGTGGAGGCTGGTGGAGCCTCAGTGAGGTGGACTGACACGGGGCGCCTGTGGGCGCGGTGGGTGGCTGGGCGCCGAGGATGGTTCAGGACAGGTCAAGGTCAGGTCTGTTTTCCACAGGGTCACTATGAGTCAGAGGTGACTCCTTGGCAGCAACAACAACAACAACAACAGTGTATTCATGATTGAATGAAACTTTAAAATAGACCATTTTAGTGGAATGAGGTGAACTGGACTGTAGCATTTCAGTCACTTTAGAGCACTAAGATTTTACTGTATTCCACATTCAGAACAGAGGGACATCCCATACTCTCTCCCACAGCAAGGCCAGCGTCCAGCAGTTTTGGGCTTTTGCTGTGTCCGTGTTACAGGGAGTCTTGCCCGTGGTAGTACCGGAGTCTGCATACTGGCTAGACCATGCTGTGTGTACCCAACACTCCTGAAAGTTAAAACTCACCCCATCTCTGCAGTCAACCGAGTTCATAGCTGGTCCTCTGTGGGCTGGTTAGCCTGAGCTCGCTGTGAATTCAATGGGGGAAGATCTCTCCTACGAAGCCTCGGTGTTTTAAAGTTAAAGCTGTGAATAGGATTTACAGAATTTAGAACTTAATTCTACGTACTTGCCGCCCCATTAAAAACCCACGTGGTTGAGTTCATTACAACAGTCCACTGGCTCGAGTCCCGTCCCTTTTGTGAGGACCTGTGAAGACTCTGGCATCTGTGTCCTGGGAATGTTGCTGGCTCTCTGGTGAGAGGCACAAGGTCAGCTGGCATGGAGGTACCTGATGGTCCTCTCTAAACGGACGGGCGTCCTGCTGTCTGTTGTCAGGACTCATTCTTATCCACTCTGCTCACGGTGTGTAAATGTGGCAGATTGGACTCCAGCCCTAAGCACCCTGCCCCTCTTGTTAGCAGAGGAAACAGTGCTGCCGAGACAGCCACTCGGGCAGCTGTGGTCGAGACCATGTCAGGAGCTGGTGTCCACCTCAATCGGTGCCCACCCACTCCATCACTGAAGCCCTCGCTTCCGTGTGCTGTCTGCCCGGCCTCAGTGTGTCTTGGTGTTGGATGACTGGTGTGTGTTGATGCCCCAACAGGGTGGTAGTCTAACCTGTCAGCCTCTCTCAGGGCATCTGGACAGCACGTCCAGAGTCGTTAGCACCGTGGTCCAGCCTTGCAGGCGGGACTTGCTCTAGCCCAGCCTGGGGCGGACTCAAGAGGCTGCCCTCAGGTGGACTCGCCCTGCTGAAGTCCCGACCCTTGCTGTTCTGCAGCCAACTATGCCGAGCACTGGTGCTCATTGCTGAAGAAGACAGAGACTCCCTTTGGCAGGTGCCACTCAGCCGTGGACCCCGCAGAGTACTATAAGGTGGGTGTGATCCCGCACATGTTGGCACCTGCATGCTTTACCCTGCCACTGCTGAGTGCCCACAGAGCGTGCGTGTGCTTGGCCTGTAGGCCTGTGTGCGTGTGCACTCGGAATGTGTGTGCACACTTGGGAGTGCCCGCACATTCATGTTCATGTGTGTACACGTGTGTAAGTGTGCCCCATGGCCTGGGAGTGCTCACACGTGTGTGTGTGTGTGTGTGTGTGTGTGTGTGTGTGTGTGTGTGTGTGTGCGCGTGCGCGCGCCTGTGCCCTGCCCCTCCCCTGACCACCTGGTTCTGTCTGTGCTCAGAGGTGCAGGTATGACACATGCAACTGTCAGAACAACGAGGACTGCATGTGTGCGGCGCTGTCCTCCTACGCCCGCGCCTGCTCCGCCAAGGGCGTCATGCTGTGGGGCTGGCGGGAGCGCGTCTGCAGTGAGTGCTGCCCTGGGCGCTGGGCGCATGTGGGGCCCTGGGCCTGCTGGCCCTGGAGGCGAGGGGTGGAGACAGCCGCTGCCCCTTGACTCATGGGATGCCTTGCCCACAGACAAGGACGTGGGCTCTTGCCCCAACTCCCAGATCTTCCTGTACAACCTGACCACCTGCCAGCAGACCTGCCGCTCACTGTCCGAGCCAGACAAGCACTGCCTGGAGGGCTTTGCGCCTGTAGACGGCTGTGGCTGCCCTGACAACACCTTCCTGGACGAGAAGGGGCGCTGTGTGCCGCTGGCCAAGTGCTCCTGCTACCATCGCGGCCTCTACCTGGAAGCAGGGGACGTGGTCTTACGACAGGAGGAGCGATGGTGGGTGGCCACCTCCATGTCGGCATGGGCTCAGCGGGAAGCACATTCTATGCCTCTGCCTTGGCCTGGGCTCACGTCCAGTAGCTTCACCCCCCAGAACCCCAGGGGTCTGGGTCTGAGGCTTCCATCCCCTAAGGTTGCAGGGCGGCCTGAGAGGAGCTGGCATGGTCAGCTCTCATCTGGTCCTGGCCATCAGTGCCTTCTCTGTATGGGATTTATGGCTGAGCCATTTAGGACACTACTGCAGGCCCAAGGAGGCCCAGCTCACTCACCTCCTGTCTCTCTCCCGCAGTGTCTGCCGGAATGGGAGGCTGCACTGCATGCAGGTCAAGCTGATCGGCCAGAGTAAGTGCCCCATCCCACCTGCTCACAGCTCCCCACCGCCCCCTCCATGCCTCCTCCATGGTCAGCTGACATGACCGCCTTCTGCCACAGGCTGTGTGGAACCCAAGATCCACATTGACTGCAACAACCTGACTGCACTGGCCGTGCGGAACCCCCGTCCTGTCAGTTGCCAGACACTAGCCGCCGGCTACGTGAGTGCTAGGGGCCCAGGTGCAGGGCAGCAGGTGGCTGTGCTGGACCTGTGCACACGGGCGCAGGCAGCCTCAGGCAGTGCTCTCTGTGGAGGCTCCAGTGTCCAGTCCTGTGGACACTCCGGAGTTGCTGGTCCTGGCACATGGGCAGAAGGCAGCGATTCCTTCCCAGGGTGGGCGTGAGAGGGTTGTTCCTGGGGCTGGGTGAACCCACGGTGGAGGGAGAAGAGGCTGCTTGTTGAGGGACTCTGGCGCTGTCCTGAGCCCCCTCCCTACCACTGTAGTACCAGACAGAGTGCATCAGTGGCTGTGTGTGCCCCAACGGGCTGATCGATGATGGCAGAGGTGGATGTGTCACAGAGGATGAGTGTCCCTGTGTCCACAACAAGGACCTGTACCTCCCCGGGGACAAGATCAAGGTGGACTGCAACACCTGGTAAGGCCTGACCGCTGGAGATGGCAGGGGGCACCTCATCCTCCCAGGGGTCTGGATGGTCTGAGGGTTTGCAGGAGCTGGCCAGGTTCTGGCTGAGCCCCCAGGTGGAGGAGGGGCTTGGCCCTGTCATAGCAGCACCTCCCCATCCCCCCTCAGCACGTGCCAAAAGGGGCGCTGGACGTGCTCCCAGTTCGTGTGTCATGGCACCTGTGCCATCTATGGTAATGGCCACTACATCACCTTTGATGGGAAGTACTACGACTTTGATGGACACTGCTCCTATGTGGCAGCTCAGGTGAGAAGGCCTGTCAAGCTCCACTCTTGGAGTGTGGACGGCACCTTAAAATGGGCATGGGAGGGAGACAGGTGGGCAAATGGACACCAAGGAGGGGGCTTTCAGATGTCCAAATTCCTCCTGTGAGGCCAGACCAAAGCCCCGTGTCCCTGCTGAGAAGGGGCATCGCTGGGGCTCTAGCTCGGGGTTCTGCTAGCCCTCGTGGTGGGAGTGGGCACACCCAATCCCAGGTGCTCACCGACTTGCTCGCATGTCCCCTGCCCCCAGGACTACTGCGGCCAGAACTCCTCTCTGGGCACCTTCAGCATCATCACCGAGAACGTGCCCTGTGGCACCACGGGTGTGACCTGCTCCAAGGCCATCAAGATCTTCCTGGGGGTGAGCTCATGGGGATAAGGGGTGCCACTCAGGAACGGGCTGCTTGGGCTCTGGGCTCTTAGGGTCCGGGGAGGGGATGGGCTTTACGGGTCCAGGTAGATAGCTGGGCTATTGGACGGTGCTGGTGGTCTCCTGGGGAGGAGTCAGGCTGGTAACACCCCTCCTCACACTCAGAGGACAGAGCTCAAGCTGGAGGACAAGCGTCGTGTGGTGATCCAGAGGGACGTGGGGCACCGCGTGTCCTATACCACACGTGAGGTGGGCCAGTACCTGGTGGTGGAGGCCAGCTCCGGTATCATCATCATCTGGGACAAGAGGACCACCATCTTCATAAAGCTCGCCCCCTCCTACAAGGTACGTGTCCACCCCACTCTCCCCCCCCAAGGATGGGCCTGCCCAAGCCTCCACCCTCCCCGAGGTGCATACCTGCACTGTCCCCACCTCCTCACAAAGTGCACACCTGCCTGTCCCCACCTCCTCACAAGGTGCTCACTGACCCATGACCCTATCCCACAAGCAGAGCCCTCTGGGGCTCACCTGGGTTTACGCACAGAGGCCCGACCCCTGACCCCTCCGCGGGTTGGAGAGTCACTGGCGAGATCCCCTCTCCCGTCCAAAGGGCACTGTGTGCGGCCTGTGTGGGAACTTTGACTTGCGCTCCAACAACGACTTCACCACGCGGGACCACATAGTGGTGGATAGTGAGCTGGACTTTGGGAACAGCTGGAAGGAAGCCCCCACCTGCACAGACGTGACCAGCACCCCAGAGCCCTGCAGCCTGAACCCGCACCGGCGCTCCTGGGCCGAGAAGCAGTGCAGTATCATCAAGAGCCGGGTCTTTGCAATCTGCCACAGCAAGGTGGGCAGCCGGGACTCACCTGCCTTCCTCCCAGGCTCACTCGGCACATTTCGCCCTCCTGCCAGGGAACAGCAGAGAGGCTTCCTTCTTGGGCCTCCTTCCTGGGCCGCTGCCGGGGGGTGGGGGGCGGCCTTGAGGCAGCAGACCCAGCCTCACTGCTATCTCCTGACAGGTGGACCCCAAGCCATTCTACGAGGCTTGCGTCCACGACTCCTGCTCCTGTGACACTGGTGGGGACTGCGAGTGCTTCTGCTCGGCCGTGGCCTCCTACGCCCAGGAGTGCACCAAGGAGGCAGCCTGTGTCTTCTGGCGGACCCCCGATTTGTGCCGTGAGTGCTGCTGCGAGCCGGACCCAGGCTGGGGTGGGGACAGGGCTCTGGCTCCAGTGCCCATCCCGTGGGACCCTGCAGGGTCTGACGTGCCCTCTCCGCCCTGCAGCAATCTTCTGTGACTATTACAACCCCCCGGATGAATGTGAGTGGCATTACGAGCCGTGCGGGAACCGCAGCTTTGAGACCTGCAGGACCATCAATGGCATTCACTCCAACATCTCCGTGTCCTACCTGGAGGGTGAGCCTGGGAGGGGGATGCACCCGAGGAGGTCAGAGACCGACAGACAGAGGGACCCGGCAGCTGGGACCCACGGCCGGGCAAGCGGGAAGCAGAAAGGGTCATGCCACCTACTCGTGTTTACCGAGTACCTGAGCACAGCTCCTTGCGTGGCAGAGGGAAGGGGTCACTAGAGAAGCCAGCACACTGACCACAGGGGGCGGTTCTGGGAGACTGGGTGGGGCCAACTGCCGGTGGGCGGGGCTGAGAGGTCTCTGCCTCACTAGCATGGTGGCTTGTGGTAAGGAGCTGCGCTGCCAACACAAAGGCTCGCGGTTCAAGATCACCAGCTGCTCCTTGGGAGGAAGATGGGGCAGCCTCCTCCTGTGAGATTTACTGTCTCTGAAAACCCGCTGGAGGTTCGGCTGTGGGTTGGTTCCCAATCTACTGAACACAGCAACAACAGCAGCGTGCTGGGGAGGTGGCGGGGGGAGCACGTCCAAGACCCATCTTTCCTACACTGAGGATCATCCTCCTGGTGGACTGAGACCAAGCCCAGCATTCTCCTTGCCAGGTTGCTACCCACGGTGCCCTAAGGACAGGCCCATCTATGATGAGGAGCTGAAGAAGTGTGTCACTGGGGACCAGTGTGGCTGCTACATTGAGGACAACCACTTCCGCCCTGGGGAAACTGTGCCCTCCGAGGACATCTGCCAGTCTTGGTACCTGAGCCCATCACACATGCACACATCTGTATGCACACGCGTTTGTGCACAGTCACACTTGCAGGCAGAGCACACATGCACACGTGTGTGCACACACAGGGACACAAGCAATACATGATACACAGCACACACATGTGCATGTATACACACATGCTTGGACTCAAGCACGCACCAGTACACACACAAGTGCACATGCACATGTAACACGCACATGCATACATGCATTGGCACAGATGCACCTGTGCATTACGTGCATGCACTCACATGTGAGCACACTCCTGGTCACACATGCACACACAGGATCCAGGGATTAGAGGAGAGGGAGGCCTTTGTTCTCATCCAGGGAGGCTCACCCATGTCATGTTGACCTTCCCAGATGGCCCCAAGTCTGCGGTCCTTTGGACTGGCTCGGGGGTGGTCTGGTGCAGCCTTCTGGGGCTGTGGGTGGAGAGAGGCGGGTGTAGTTGGGGAGGCAGACACCTGGGAGACCTAGTGCCCTTGGGCCTGTGTCTGACTGTGGCTGCTTTGCAGTGTGTGCACCAACACCTCGGAGATCATCTGCCAGCCAGACGAAGGTGAGTGTGGTCCTCCCATCCAGTGGCGAGAGGCCCCACCAGCAGGGCTTAAGGCTGCCTTCTCCTGGACTCAGCTGGGCAAGGAGGGTGACTGGGCTTGTCCCAGGGCTCTGCCCTTTGTGCTGACCAGGGCTACCCAGCTCAGTTTTGTTCCCAAGCTGCGGCAGCTTTGTGGGGCTCATGGGCCCTTCCTGGGGGAGCCAGTGCCCGCATGGTGACTCCCTATAACCCTTCTTTATAGCCCAGGCTGAACCCTGAGGGGCTTCTTCCTCAAGAAGGACGCTCTGAAGACAGGTCCCACTGGGCATTGTCTGCCCTTGTTCGGGTTAGGGGATGCCCAGCCTTTCCCTCACCTGTGAGTCTTACCTTGTTCCTGATTTGTTAATGGTTGGCCCTCTACCCCCAGGAAAGATTGTTAACCAGACTCAGAATGGTTCCTTCTGCTACTGGGAGATCTGTGGCCCCAATGGGACGATTGAACAACACTTCAACATCTGTGTGACCACCACCCCACCCCCATCAACCCCGACGTCCTCTGTCACCATTCCACTCTCCTCCACTACCACCCTTACCACCACCTCCACCATCACTACCTCGAAGCCAACGCCAACCACCAGCCCAGGTACAGCCCTCAGCCTCACACCTGTGTCCCGCTGACAGAGCACTTCTTGGGGAGGGGAGGGACACAGCCTAGGGTACCTGACTCCCAGCTTGGCCCAGGGACATGTCCCTGGCATCTCTGTTCCTCTAAGTTGGGATGTCACCGTCATGATTATCCCCAAGCCCAGGCCACAATGACAGGCACTTTAGACGTTTCCCCAAACAGCAAGGAAATGTCCCTGCACCAAGAGCCACCAGGGCAGTTCTGAGCCCCAGTGACGCTGTGCTTCGCCAAGTCCCTCTGTGTTTGCTCTGCATGGAATCTTGGCAGCTACCCAACAAGCCTCCAGCCCTGGGAAAGCCAATGAAAAGAGTTTTAAACATTTAAAAAAAACCCCACAAAAACACATGTAGATGATCTTGACCTCTAGAATGAGTTCAGTAATAATCCTGTTGTATTTATGTATTTTTGCTTTGTTTTTCTGCAGTTTTCTCGACTACTCCACGTAAGTGACAAATACGATGCAGAGATAGAAAGCCTTGTGCAATTACAAGGCAAGCTTCCCTTAGAACCAGATGTGGGGCCAGGCTGTGCTGCTTATGGACCAAAGATGAGTGTCTTTTTGGTGACTTTAGTCACAGTTTGCTGAGGCCAGGAATGGATGGAGAAGGATTTATTTTGTTGGTTGAGAATAGAGAAACTTCTTCTTCTCTACAATGGTGATACTTTGATTAAGAAATCTTTGACTTGAGGGTTGAAAATGGCTGAGGCTATGGCTATGGGCTTGGAGCCCTGAGAGCTGGCTCTGTCACACCAAGGATGTGGCTTTGAGAGCCCCTTCCTCTCTAAGCCTCAGATTTACATATGAGGGTCAAGATAGCCAATCCTGGCTCTACAGTTGGGTCCTTGGGCAATAATGAAATAGTGGTATGTGGTGGTAGGATTGGAGGCCAATGGGACCTCTCCCAGTGTGGGTGACCACTGTTGGGTTTCTTTTCTAGATATATGCTGTTTCTGGTCAGACTGGATCAATGAGGACCACCCGAGTTCTGGCAGTGACGGTGGTGACCGAGAGATATTTGACAGTGTCTGCAAGGCCCCCGAAGACATTGAGTGCAGGTCAGCCGCGGATCCCCACCTCAGCTGGGAGCAGCTGGGCCAGAAGGCTCAGTGTAATGTCTCTGTTGGGCTCATCTGTAAAAATGAAGACCAGTTTGGAAATGGACTATTTGAACTCTGCTATGACTATGAGATACGAGTGAACTGTTGCCTACCAATGGACCAATGTCCAGAAACAACGACGCAGACCATCACAACCACCCCTACTCATTCATCAACAACTCCCACCCACTCATCAATGACTCCGATCCATTCATCAACTCCCATCACTCCACCCACCTCAACTCTGACAACCTCCCCTACCCCAGAGTCCACCATCTCAGTGACAACAATAACCACAACATCCACAGCCACACCAAAACAAACCACAACTGTGACCTCCACGCTGACTCCAGAATCGACCACCACTACTACCATAACCGCCAAACCAACCACAACTCCATGTATTGACTGTGAATGGACAGGCTGGATTGATTCAGGCAAACCTAACTTCAGCAAGCCAGGTGGTGGTGACTTTGAGGCAATTGGGGACATCTGTGGGCCAGGATGGCCAGCTAATATCTCCTGCAGAGCCACAGCATATCCTGATGTCCCACTTGACCAACTTGGACAAACAGTGGTGTGTGACCTCTCTGTTGGATTGATTTGCAAGAATGAAGATCAAAAGCCAGGAGGGGTCATCCCTATGGGCTTCTGTATCAACTATGAGATCAATGTCTACTGCTGCAAGGAATGCATTTCAACAACTTCCCAAACCCCAGCTCCCACCATCAGCAGCACCAAAGAGACAACAACACCTGTAACCACCACCACAACCACGGAGACACCCGCTCCCACCATCAGCACCACTACAGAGACCATCACCACCACAACCAGCACAGAGACACCAACGCCCACCATCACCACAACCACGGAGACACCAGCTCCCACCATCAGCACCACTACAGAGACCATCACTACTACCACCAGCACAGAGACACCAACGCCCACTATCAGCAGCACCAAAGAGACAACAACACCTGTAACCACCACCACAACTACAGAGACACCAACTCCCACCATCAGCACCACTACAGAGACCATCACCACTACCACCAGCACAGAGACACCAATGCCCACCATCACCACAACCACAGAGACACCAACTCCCACCATCAGCACCACTACAGAGAC